TACAAGATGCTTTTGATGAAACCCGACGGAACAACGCCGTTTATAAAGAAATTGCACAGAAGATGCGGGAAATGGGTTATAACTTTACGCAAGCACAGATAGAATACCAAATGCAAGAACCTGCGCAAAAAAATACACCCAGGAAAAGGACTCAAACAGGAAGTCAGGAAACCCCCTCCCCCCAACAGAATGGCCGTATTTTGAGATGATGAACGAAATTTTTGGCGATGGACCCATTTCTTGTCCACCGCACACTGTTGACACGTCGTTGTCGGGTCTCAGAACACCAGCGGAACTAGTAATACAGTAGTAGTAAGTCCGTAGGCTATTTTTTTTCCCTTTGTTTTTTTTTTTTTTTTGTAGTTTTCCCAGTTGGCTAGGCTCTAGTTTTTAACGCCTGGTTTTTTTAGAATTGGTTGGAGTTCGAGCGTAGGCAAGGCGAGGTAATTCGTTGTTGAATTGCCTTGTGCTGAGGAAGGCTAAGCGGTGAAGTGTTTGTTTTGTTTACATGAAAGGCCTATACCTTACTGTCAGTATCCGAATAACTTGGGGTTCGTAAACGAGCGATCTAATGACCGACCCTCTGGGCATTATGTCATTTTTGACTTATCCGGTTTCGTTGAAAGTTCGTAAACACAACCTATGAGTGCAGATTTTGTCAGTGACTGATATATGACATATTTCAGTGATGCATAACACAATTCACATACAGTTCTTTCGTTCTGCCGGGTAAAATCAATTACTTTAGGCGACGTTTGTTGACTAACCTACTCGTACCAACGTCGGCATGTCGCGACGCTGGAGTACTATTCAGCGTTTTAACTATATTTCTAGGTTTCCTATTTCTACGTTTAATCGGCTCATGTCTCAGCCACAATATTTTGAGGACAATATTATTTACGAACCCAGTTAAACTTATTTACTAGCCTATTTCAACGTGCTAATTATTACATTTAGGCGACGCTTATTGTAGACTGGCATAGTGTTTGCGGAAATAAATACCATTTTATACACATGCGCAGATCGATTCGCCAGCAGCGAGTCATCGCCAGCAGCAGCGAGCCATCGCCAGCAGAGAGATGTCACTGCAGCAAAACACTATTGTACCAACGCTGTTCTAATAATATATAGACAATGGGTCGTGCTCATATTATTTGTTATATTTATATTATTCATTATTTTCACTTGACTCGCATAAATAATTTTGTTCGAAGAACATTTTATGCAGTTGTACTTCGCAGCACTTCACTTGCAATTTGCAATTTCTAGTAATATGCTGTATATAAAACATGGTGTAAAGTAGCAAGTTACAATCAAAAAACAGGTGGCTGTCTTATACGTGCAACGCATACAAATTTCTTATTTTTGACCCATGTTAGTCTTATGTGCTGATTGTCTATAACTACTTTAAAAATGAAGCTACTAACTGTTAATACTGTATAAATGAATGCAATAATATGGGGAAATAACATTTTGATGAACATTCAAAAGCATGCACATAAAATTGTATTACCGGTATTTGGAAGATTGGCCCTACTATGGCTACATTTTCAGCCAGCTACAGTAGATTCAGTATCAAGACCAGACCATAAAAAGCAGGAAAATTAGGAATTCAGACGATGAACAAAGGGCGTCTTATATGCTTGACATACAATAATCTTCAAAAAGTCTTCTCAAACTTTGGAAGGGGGCAGGGTCATCTTATACGCAAATTGTATTATACGCAAGTACTGTATATACGGTATACATTAGTACAGTAGTAGTAATATATTTTTTGAGTGAAGTCCATTGTTCCCAAACATAAGACCCTCTAAACACCATTCTATGCTCTACCAACTATCCAAGAAAGCCCAGATATACTTTTGATTTCCTAATTTCACAAAGTATGGCATAAACTCACATGTGTATTAAATAAATGACAATGTTATAACTTTTTTATAAATACATTTTCATATTTTTTTATATAATTGTTTAATATTTTATTCTAGGATAAACAAGCAAAAGAAAAAGATGAAATGTGAAAGATCCAAAAGGCGAAGTAGGTCACCGAAAATGAGTCGGAAAGAGAAAAGCAGTAAAATAAGAAAAACATCATCATCCAGCAGCAGCTCTCCAAGCCCACGAGGACGCAGGCGGTCAAAATCATGCAGCTCTACTAGTAGC